CAGAAATTCAGAAATTCAGAAGTTCAGAAATTCAGAAATTCAGAAATTCAGAAATTCAGAAATTCAGAAATTCAGAGATTCAGAGATTGAGAAATTCAGAAATGCAGAAATTCAGAAATTCAGAAATTCAGAAATTCAGAAATTCAGAAATTCAGAAATTCAGAAATTCAGAAATTCAGAAATTCAGAAATTCAGAAATTCAGAAATTCAGAAATTCAGAAATTCAGAAATTCAGAAATTCAGAAATTCAGAAATTCAGAAATTCAGAAATTCAGAAATTCAGAAATTCAGAAATTCAGAAATTCAGAAATTCAGAAATTCCAGAAATTCTAGGAAATTCAGTAAATATTTCAAAAATTTTTTGATTTTCAGAACCTTATGTAAAATCATTTTTTGGTCTTGAAGCTCCTAAACAATTCTGAAACTTTTTGAAATTCGATTTTTTGATTTTTCGACTTTTTGTGCCAACTGATAACAAGCTATACTATTTCTGAATTGCGAAAAATTTCAAAATTTGATTATTTTCTATGTCTGCGTCTCTATTTATGGGTCTTATGAACATAAAAATTGGCATTTTTCCTCTTTTTTCATATTTCGATATTTAAAAGAAAAAATGGAAAATGAATTTCCTGAAGATTTCTGGAAAAACCTGCTGAAATATTTGAGATTTGATCAACGGTGAGTATGTGTAGATCAAAAAAAAAATTTAATTTTTAAAAAATTTCAGAGCCTCTCTATCCCTTCATATTCCTCAAATTCGCTCTATTGAAGCTACAGTACCCCTGAAATTGGATTATTTTCGATTGGAACCCTTATCTCTAACTATAGATACCGTGATTTTCGATTTTTATGAATTCTGGAATTTTTGGATCTCATCTCCACCGTCGAAAAAAGAAATTGAGGAAATTTCGAAACGAAAACATTTTGGAAATTTATTTTTTCGAAAAGTGGATCTAATCAATCGATGGGAAAAGAAAGTGCCAATAGGGATAACCCAAGGAGAAGCTGAGCTCAAATTTTTGGATTTTCTATTTGGAAGATTTGAAAAAGTCAATATTCGAAGATTGAGAATCGATGATGTGGAAGATTTCCAGAAGAGAATTCCAGAGAAAATGAGAAGTAGAATTTTGGTGAAGGAGCTGCATTTGGCTATTCAGAATTTTCAAGAGTTCCGAAAAATTTTCGATTTCCTGAGTCCAAGTCCATGGGAAAAATTGGAAATCGAAATTGAGAATTTGAAAAATTTGGAGCTCGAAAAAATAAGTTTTTTCTAGAAATTCTTGAACTACGGTAATCAGATATACAGGAAAAATAGTTTCAGTTGATTTTCAGCGATTTTACCCCCAAAAAATCAAGTTTTAAGCTGTTTTTTAACCCAAAAATTCAAATTTCGCGCGTTGAATTGTCCACGAGGAGTACATGAGTTGAAATCTTCAATTTTCTACTTTTTTCTTAGAAAGTTTGACTTTCTATAATTTTTGTCCATTTTTTTTATTCAAAAATTGAATTTCAGGATGCTTTGTAACAAAAAATTCAAATTTCGCGCATTGACTTGTCCACGAGGAGTACAAAATGCAAATTTGATAAAACACCCCGAGTGGTCGAAATTCGAGGGTTTTCAGTCATTTTTGCACGAATAAATTAGATTTTCATGATTCCTAGCGTTTTCAGATCCAAAAAATCGAGTTTTAAGCTGCTTTGTAACCCAAAAATTCAAATTTCGCGCATCGTCTTGTCCACGAGGAGTACAAATGCAAAATCTCGATGTTGGTCGAATTTCAATTATTTTTAGTCATTTTTCACGTTTTCAGTCAAAAAAACGGAAAAAATATTCTTGAAAATGGTCGAACTAGCTGAAAATATACTAAAAATAACTTTTTTGTTGTATTGATTGGTCGGTACTGTATATAATAGTTTTATATTTTCAGATCTATGAGAAACCTATAAAAAATTTGAGAATCAAATTTTCAGTCAATACTGAAATTGCAGACGTGCAAGATTTTCTTACAGTTAGTCTTCAATTTTTTTTTCAAAAAAATTTTTTTTTCCAGAAATACGAATCTCTGAAATTCCCCATTGGATCAAACTTGAGTTTTGAAGTTCCGGACAAAGAATATTTGGATTCAATTTTTGAATTTCTCAGAATCCCTGAAATTGTGGATTCTGAAACTTCTGTAATTTCTGAAAATCGGAAATTTTTTGGTGGAAAAGTGGAGGCATACAAAAATCATATTTATGAGATTTGCGAAAAATGGGAAATGTGGATTTTTGAGATGGAGATCATTTGAAGGATGTGGGAACTTCAGGGAGATAAATAAAGAAATTTTTTAATTGTAGCTTTTATTTTTACATTAAAAAATAAAATTGAAATTTCGCAAAGTTTTCCTAAAGCTAAAATGACAATTAAAGTGAAAAAAATAGCTCAAGATCAAAATAGAGAAAAGGACCTGCACCCTGACCTAAGTACCATTAAAGGTGGGGGGACATGAAAAAAATAATGTTCTCGAAATTCCGTTCAAAGATGCCCCTCGAGGAGTTGAACTTGTGAAGGCGATGATTGAGGGTGCGGCGCAGCTACCGACTGAGCCACGCGGGCAAAGAGAAAGCGGCAGCCGGATTGCATACATAAAGGCGAGGACGACAGCTGTACGCAGAGTGACATTAAGCGTTGTACACCGTGACGGTAGAATGCATACTCTGGCCCCAAAAATCCCCCGTAAAATCTCCTGTCCCCCCACCTTTAAACTAGTCAATGGACCTTCGAAAACGGAACAAGCAAAAAAAGGATATAGCACAAATTATGGTGTTAGTTCCAAATCGATGGTCACAATGGAATCATCTTTTTGGTCTGCAGAGAATTTGAGATCCGCTCCAGCATTTGTCTTGATGGTGAAAGTCGCTGGGAACGCGAATCTGAAAAAAAGCATTACGATTTTGAAATAAATTGTTCTGAAAAACGTACCGTAAAACCCCTAATAGAAGAGCACCAAAATTTCAACTTTGAGCTCAATTATCTCGGTTCATATGGAAGATATCATAAATATGTTAACTGAAAAAATTTTTAATTTTAATTTAATTTTTATGAGAAACAATTCATCAGTTAACAATTTTTTATATCTTCGACAGGAACCGAGAAAAATGAAAATTAAAAGTGAGAGCGGGCCCTTCCATTACAGGTTTTATGGTAGGTTAGTTTTTGAATGGAAATTTTGAATTCAGGAAGAAAACTCATTTCTGTATGGTGGGGGAACAGGAGATTTTTCGGGGATTTTTTGGAGATTTTTTAAGGTATGCATTCTACCGTGACGGTGTACAACGCTTAATGTCACTCTGCGTACAGCTGTCGTCCTCGCCTTTATCTATGCAATCGGGCTGCCGCTTTCTCTTTTCCCGCGTGGCTCAGTCGGTAGCGGCGCCGCACCCTCAATCATCGCCCCAACAAGTTCAACTCCTCGAGGGGCACATTTGAACGGAATTTCGAGAACATTATTTTTTTCATGTCCCCCCACCTTTAAGCTTTTTCATAGTTAATTCCATTTTTCATGAAAATGTTAGAAGAATTAATTTCACTCACCCTCTCTCATCAAAGTGGTTTTTTGTGTCCTCATCTGCAAACCTCCGAACCATCCTATACCATTCGTGATTTTCTGCTGACACTTCAAATGTGTAATGTCTCTTGGCAGCTTTATTCATCTTTTTGAAGCAGAAAGCGATTGCGTGAGCTGATCGGAAGCAATCCGCGCATTTGAACAGAATTCGGGGATTTGAAAACTTTTTTACATCGAACATAAACACGCTTTCAACCACCCCAACCTTCAGGATGAGCAATTTCGCGTTAGCAAGGAGCATATGATCTTCGTAGCCTTGTAAATAGCATCTCGCGGTTTCCAGAGGAGGACTGTTCGTGAAGAAAAGGTCTTCGAAATCCCTCAATTTGGTGAAATATTCCATATCCAAGTGCTTCACTTGCATTTTTACGGTTTTGAGCGGATTTTCGAATCCGCCAAGAATCTCGAGATGTCTAACATGGATCTGATGTCCTCTTCCACCAAAAATCCTATCCATAAGATCCTTGAAAGCCTCCTGGATGGGTTCGGTGTAGTTCACCATCAGCTGCTCATTGTGCTTTTTTCCCGAGATTTTTAGTAGAATGAATTCCTCAAACTTTGATTTTGAAATCGCAACTTTTTCATTGATGATCCGAATCTTCTTTGTCAATTCTCCTTTTTCCTTGATCCGCTCAGCATTGCCTTTCACCACTTTACGAAGTTTCTCCAATTTCTTCTTCGCTTTTTCCAGCTCCCTCATATCTCTTTCTAACGAACCCTTATATATTTTTTTGGGCTCATTAATACCATATCGATCGAAAATCGCAGTGTCGTACTGCACGCCTCCCTCTCGGTTATAGTCGATTGCCATGTAAGTGCATGCTTCGTAAGTCCGATATATTCCAAGTCGGTAGATGGTGTCATCGATCTGGAAGCCTTTCTTTCGGAGACTCAGGTTTTTGATATGCAGTGGATAGGATTTCTCGAATTGACGAAAGGTGGGATTGCAGGCGGAGAAGCGCAGTCTGAAAATAGCCTTATTTAGGATATATTTAACCTTGTCTTGAGATAAACATCCATTAGAGAAATATCAATTCTTTGAAAAGGTCTTTGAGATGTTAAAAAAGTTTTTGGGAATCTTCAGAAATCTTTATGCTATATAAAGTGTTCTTATTAAGAAAAAGGAAATGCTTATCGATGCCAAATAGACATTTTGATTTCTCAAAAAAATTTAACACAGAAGCTTTTAAGCTTAAAGGGGGACTCCGACCAGAATTTTTTTTGCATTAAATTGTGTTAAAATTTATTTGTTTTTCAAATATTATTGCAAAAAAATTCAAAGAAAATCCGAAATTCCCGAAAAACGGTGTTGAAAAGGAAGAAAATTCAAAAAAAAATGCCGCCGGGGGACGAGGATTTTCAGTGAGAAACCTAGGCCACGGCACCTGACAGCCTTTTTTTCAAGTCGCCGACAGTGGTTCTTTACGTTTATACCTGCCGGACATGAAATTGAAAAAAGTCCGGAAAATTTGCCACGTAGGAAAGGCGCCCGCTGCCGTGGCCTAGGTTTCTCACTGAAAATCCTCGTCCCCCGGCGGCACCTTTTTTTTGAATTTTCTTCCTTTTCAACGGGGTTTTTCGGGAATTTCGGATTTTTTTTTGAATTTTTTCGCAATAATATTTGAAAAATAGATAAGTTTTAACACATTTTAATGCAATAAAAATTTTTGGTCGCTGTCCCCCTTTAAGAATTCGAAAAAAATTTCAAAAATATTCAAATCCTTTCAATATCAGCCCACCCGAACCGTCACTTTTGAGCTCAATTATCTCGCTTCCTTTGAGAGATATCAAAATGTTGTCTACTGATAAATTGTTTATCATAATATCATAAATATTTTATCAGTTGACAGATGTTTAATTTCTCTCACAGTAACCGAGATAATTGAGGTCATAACCTAGAAAAAATTAGGTCATGACCTAGAAAAAATTAGGTCATGACCTGGAAAAATTAGGTCATGGCCTAGAAAAAATTAGGTCATGACCTAGAAAAAATTAGGTCATGACCTAGAAAAAATTAGGTCATGACCTAGAAAAAATTAGGTCGTGCCCTGGATAAAATTAGGTCATGACCTAGAAAAAATAAGGTCGTGACCTAGAAAAAATTAGGTCATGACCTAGAAGAAATAAGGTCGTGACCTAGAAAAAATTAGGTCGTGGCCTAGAAAAAATTAGGTCGTGACCTAAAATCAAATTCACAAATTCAAATTTTCTAGGTCTTGATTTTTGAATTTTTTTCGATTTTTATAAAAAATATTTCGAATTTGTGGTTTAATCAGAAAAAAATCTTTCAACTTTGAGCTCGATTATCTTGTTTCCAGTGAGAGATGTTAAAAATTTGTCAACTGATAAAATATTGCTAATATCATGATAAACAATTGGTCAGTTGACCACTTTTTGATATCTTTTATAGAAAGTGATATATACGGGCTCAAAGCGAGGGATATGAGGGAATCGAATTTTTCAAACAAACCTGGAATTAATGTCCATGTATTGAAGTACAACCTCCGCTGCCACACCGCTGACGGCCATTTTTCTGAAAATCGTTGTTTTTTGTTTGACTTATGGAAAACCTAAAAACTGGTTTAAAGTAAAAATCAGGAGTTCAACCGAAAAAAGAATCAAACATCCAATAAAAATTGTATATAGGATAAAAAAAGAATTTTATTCAATCTGTTTCGAATGTAAAATGAAGAGGAATAAATTTCACAGGACAAGTGATATATATATATATATATATATAATCACGAAATTTGAAAATACCGAATATTGTTTGGGATGGAAAAAATACCGGGGATTTCGGAAAAAAAGCAGCGACAGAAAATAGAAAAAAACCTAAACAAAATGGAAAAAAAACCGATAGAAAACAGAGAAAACGCGATGGGAAATAGGAGAAAATCGATAGAAAATAATACAAGAAATGCGATAGAACATGGGAAAAAGAGACAGAAAATAGAAAAAAAAAGAAATGGAACATGGAAGAAAGGCAATAGGAAATGCAACTAAAATTGGCTCTTTCCGGGAAGGACGGTCCCAAAGCGTGACCGTTGGTCCCATCATCGGACCGCCGGTCCTAAAGAGTTGCGACAACGATCCCATTGTTCCGACAACGGTCCCATTGTTCCGACAACGGTCCCAACCAAGCTTAACCTGGAAACCCTATAGGAAACATCAGAAATTGAAATTTTTGTTTCAACTAAGAAACACATTTCGTCAACAAAAACGATAAAAATTCTGATAATTGAGAATTCCAGCACTTTTTTACTGGAGTTTTTCAGAGTGTATTTGGTTTATAATTATAGGTTTAGGCTGAAACGCCTTGTTCACAACAATGCCGGAAAAAGGCGTTTTGGCCTAAGCCTACAATACAAAAAACGTAATATTTTGTGAAAAGTTCCTGTCAAAAAGTACTGAAATTTCCAAGGATAAGAACATTTTTAAATTTCCTACTGGATTTTTTAAAGACCATTCCGTTTTTTTCTGTATTTCGTGAATAGGGTTTCCAGATTAAGCCTGGTTGGGACCGTTGTCGTACCCTTGGGACCGTTGTCGAAACAATGGGACCGTTGTCCCAATTTTCGGGACCGTGGTCCGATGTTGGGACCGGCGGTCCCGTTTTGGGACCGTTCTTCCCGGAAAGAGCCAAAAAATGATACATTTTATAATGTATGAGTAGTATTGGAGAGGAATGATGCCGGCATCTGAAATATGTATATAAAGTTGAAATTTGGAAAAAAAAAATCTTAAAATAGGGAACTTTTGAAGTGCGAACTTTTAATTGTTGTCTTTATCAATTAGAAAAACAGATTTATATTTCTAGCACTATTGAAGAAAACTTAAACCTTGTGAAATATTTTGACCTGGTAAAAATTAAGTGACATACCGTAAACATTCTAATAGAATGCTTCATGTTTTCGCGTATATCTAATTTCCTTCACAGGATATCAAAAAATGTATAACTAATAAGTTGTTTATCATGTTATCGCCAATATTTTATCAGTTGTCATCTTTTTGATATCTCTTATAGGAACTGAGATAATTGAGTTCAAATTGCATGTGTATTTTTAAACGAAAAAACTTACAGAATTTTAATCCTCTTGCCCAACTGGTCCTTCATACCATGCCAATGGAGTAGCAGTACTAAGACGATTAATTCTGAAGTGCCCTCTCCAAGTTTCTCTTTCCTCAAACCAGATGTTCATCTCAGTGTCATCCCCTCTATCAATCCATGCACAATACTTTTCGTTTTCGTTCAGTCTGGAAATATTTTGAATAAAAAAATGGCATGTTTCCACTTCAGATCGACTTTTTTCGAAATTTCGAAATTTTTTCCTTTTAAACAAATCAAAAATCATTCAAAACCGACAACTTTGAGCTGAGATACAGTTAGTTAAAGTTTGGAGGGCAGAGACACAGACACTCTCGTTTCTCTGCACTCTCGCCGATTTTCAAAGACGCATAACTGGCTTCAAAATTAAGCTAGAAAATTGATTTTTGGCTAGTTCTGTAGGAAATTTCAAGTGGATCAGACTGATCTGTAAGGGCAAGAGATTCGAAACATTTTCATGCACAACGATTCCGAATTCTTCATTTAACACAGACCTGCTCTCCGGGATCGTCATTGCCTGATGTCTGTTGGAGCGTCTCACATATCTCTATCTCTCGAAACCATCAAGCACCTCTCCTTGTTTATGCGTCTTCCTGAGCTCCATCGTGTACCATCTCCCAATGTCTAGCTTCATTTCGCTCCATACGCGGACCGTGTGTTCGCAGAAATTGTTGTGTGCAATTTTGAACAGAACTCTCTGACTTTTCATTTTGATAATCTCCATTTCCGGATTCTTCTGTTGGGAATTTGGTTCGATTGCAGCGATGAGTACTTTGGAATTGACTATGATGCGATGATCGATGTTATGGAAATCTCGAATCGTGAGAGAATCCAATTGATAACTGCTTAGCGAGATATAAGGTCAAACATTATGCAAAGCACACTTTCCTCCCCACCCCGACTTAGGCAGAATAATATTTTTGACCTCGAACATTATGGCTGGTGGGAAATAGCAACCAACACTGAACTTCAGAGTTCCAACTTCTGCGTTAACTTTTCTTCGGAGAAGCGTTTGGACCAAATACCGTATAACCCAGCGCCATCTCTTATCAGTGACGATATCTTCAGTTGGCACTCCGTTAATGTTCAATCGATATCCTCCATCTGTCTCCCATAGTGTATAATACATCTTGTTGATGACAACTCTTGCCGAGGATATTCTCAAATTGTTAATTTTCAGAGAAAGGTTCTTCTCGAGTTCCTTGAAGCTGATTAGCTTTTTTGAGAGGGTGATTCTGAAAAAAAATAAAACTAGGGTTTGAAAAAATTCAGTCCGGCTTCCCTCACAAAATATAGATACCGTATTTCCTCTAGTAGACGCCCACTCAATTTTGAGCTCAATTATCTCGATTCTATTTTGTAAGCTAGTAGAACCTCCTGGCCCATTTTTTTTTCGAGGCTTATTTTCAGGCACTTTTTGACATTTAGGTATTCATTATTAGGCTTTTTTGGTATTTCAAGTAGGATTTTTTTCTGAAAATAAAAAAAAATACTCACCTTAAATTTGGCTCCATTTGAGCAACCACTTCCTTTAGACAAACGTAATTTAACGTCATTTCAACCCTAAATTTCAACATATTTTAGGAAAAAAAGGAAAATAAAAAAAGGTATATAATTGGTGAAAGGAACCAGAAAAACCAGGAAAGATTCTAAATTTCAAAAAGGACAAAAAAAAATATTTGGTCTATATTTTAAATGGAATGAAAGGAAAGATAGATCGGGAAGGAAATGATTGGAGATTCAGAGAAAAACATAAAGCAGTATGGAAAGAAGGTTTTCGTTGGAAAGATCAGAAATTGAGGATCCCGAAGAAGATCACGAGACAGGAAATTGATAGAAAAAAATATAATAATTAACTTAATTACATAAACAAGAAAAGATGCATGAAATAATTTTTCAAAGAAAATTGTATGAAAATTAAACTACAAAAGATCTAGATTGACAAAACACAGAGGTTCACATCGTAGGTGGAAAAATGCCCATCATAGGTGTACCGTCCCAGATTATGAGTTGCGTAGAGAGCCAACTGCTTGTCCTTGGTGACAGGGATCAAAAGGACGTCTGGGAAATCTGGGCATCTGAAATTTTGGGCTATTTTTAATGTTAGGAGCAATTTTGGCTATATTGGGGCCGAATTTCCTCTAGAAAATAAGCTACCGTACTTCCTTCAAGATACGCGCGCTTTGAGCTTATTTATCTCGGTTCCAATGGAAGATATCAAAACCTGTTAACCATTGTGCCTTATCGACAAATGATTTGTCGACAAACGCCCTTTACGACAAATTTATCGATAAATTTACCGGTGAATTTATCGAAAAATTACCGACAAATTGTCGATAAAAACAACATTTATCGACAATTTGTCGATGAACTTGTCGATAAAAATGCTGTTTGTCGACAATTTATCGACAAATTTATCGACAAATTGTCGACAAAAATTGCTATTAACCGCCGGAATTACTTGTAAAAAACCGTATCGTTACCATTTTTTTCCTACGACGTCTTGGATGATGGCCAAACTTACCCATGCAAAATTTATAGGCCATCTGGCTGGCCTAACTTTCCTAAAACGAATTTTTCTTTCTTTTTTTCCACATCTTTTTTTTTGCCTTAGAAATGATCTGATGTTCACCTGGTTTGTTTTTTTAGGTCATTTTAACATGGTGGCCTAACTTTCGCAAGTTGACTTTTCTAGGCCACCATGTAAACATGACCTAGAAAACGTACCAGGTGAATATCTGACCATTTCTAGGCCAAAAAGGTAGGTGGCCTAGAAAACTCATATTGCAAAAGTTAGGCCACCATGTGAAAATGGCTTAAAAACGCACCATGTTAACATCAGATCATTTTCAGCTCAAAAAGTTTGGTGGCCTAGAAAATTCATGTTGGGAAAATTATGCCACCAGGTCAGATGGCCTAGAAAAAATATGAAGTACGATTTTCTACAAGTAATTCCTGCGGTTAATAGCAATTTTTTGTCGATAATTTGTCGACAAATGCCCTCTTCGACAAATTTATCGACCAAAAAAACGGCAAATTTATCGACAACGTGTCGACAAAATTTTGTCGATAAATTTGTCGATAAATTACTTTCGACAAATTTACCGATAATTTGTCGACAATTTATCGACAAAATTTTATCGTTTTTTATCGGCAAATTTATCGATAATTTGTCAAGTAAATTTGTCGACAAAATTGGGAAGTCTTTGTCAATAAGGCACACTGCTGTTAACTAATGAATTATTGATAATATTATGATAAAAAATTTATTTGTTGAAAAATTTTTGATATCTCTTATAGGAACCGAGATAATTGAGCTCAAAGTGTACGTGTAGGCTTGGCCTTCTATTGTAGCCTTGACTGTCAAGTTTGAGCTCAATTATCTTGGTTCTCTCAGAAGATATCAAAAACGTGTAAATTCTGTATCATAATGTTTCCTATATTTTATCAGTTGTTAAATTTTTGATATCTTTCAAAAGAATCGAGATAATTGAGCTTAAAGTACATGGGTGGCTTTTATTAGAAAAAGTACGGTATCCATATTTTTTCAGAGATTTTATCAACTAAAAATGATTATTCTGGATAAAAAATATGCGTTTAGAATGGGTTTCAAGCTGAAAATGTTCAAAATTCAGATTTCATTCTTCTTTAGCATCAAAACAAGCTGAAAATGTCCAACTCAAAATTCTTGATTTTTTGCTATTATGTCATAAAATAATTAAACAATTACTCTAGAAGTTAATTAATATGATCTCTTAAGGTCTGAAATCTAGGGATTACATTCAAGCCGATTTTAGTTTCTCTCTCTCTCTCTCTCTCTCTCTCTCTCTCTCTCTCCCTCTCTCTCGCTTCTAGTCGGCAGTCAGGATTTGTCACCTCTTAGATCATTTTCAGTTCAATAATCTCAACTCCTATGCGAAATATCAACAATGTGTCAACTTAGAAAACATTTCTGATATTATGATGAACAATTTATCAGTTGCCAACTTTTTGATATCATTGACAGAAAACGAGAAAAAGGGACCCTTAAATAGCCAAAACCTCTCTCACCCCTTGAACTCCTCATCCACATTGACCATCAACACATTCTCCTTAGCCTTCACCATTATCCTCTCCACAGTTTCATACTTATCAACTCCAGCGGAAATAAATGTCCCAGCTTCCCTAGGACACCTTATCAGCGCTTCCATCAACTTGATAAAGTCAGCTGGCCGGAACATATTGGCTTGTACATGAACCTGATTGCAGTGAAACTCTTGAACTGCTGTCATCCAGCTACAGTAGCTAGAAAAATCCACGATTTCAATGTTCCTGGCACTTTGGATGATCTTATGGTTGTATTTTCCTTTGGTGCGAGTTCCAGTGATTAGGATGGTGTCTAGTGGGAAGCTGTGGGGGTCTAGGAAGGGAGAAATGGCATTTAGTGATTCCTCGGCATTGTGGTTAATCTTGAGGTCATCTATTAGGAATCGAAGATGTTCCGGGAAAGGGAGAACCTCCGGCTTGTTCTCAATTCCCAGATAACCAATATTCATTGGCTGTGGCCGCTTCCCAAACAACTTGTTCATCAGGAATACCATTGCTTCATGTTCATCTCCTCCTTGAATCCTCTCTGTCTTTATATGTCGCTTGGATTTCATTGCAAAATTGATATAGCCTATTGGTGCTCCACACGGATCATGGGTGTCCAGGGTATAGATGGTTTCATCGACGATCAGAGTGTAGCCATCTAGGCAAAGACGGTTGGAGTTGATTGGGACAGATGCTTCGATGTCGCGGATGGCAGGGATTTGTTGAGCGAGGTGCATTCTGGAAAATTTGTAGATTAAATTTTTGGGTTGATTCCTAGATTCCTAGACTCTTAGATACTGATTGATTCCTGGATTCTTGGTGTTTTTGCAATTCTTAGGATACTCGTGATTCTTAGAGGCTTGGTTTCAATAAATTCTTGCGATCTTTAGATTGTCAGATTCTAAAGATTTTTGAGATTTTTAGAAGTTTTTGAGTTTTTGAGAATTGTGGGATTTTAGGGGTTTCAGAGATTCTTGAGATTCTTGGGATCCTTGGGATCTTTGAACTCCTTGTGATTCTTGGGATTTTTGGGATTTTCAATGTTTTTTGGAATAATGGGATTTCTGGAGTTTTTGGAATTTCAAGAATTATTGGGATTTTTGGTTTTTTTTGGGATTTTTAAATTTTTGGGTTTCTATATTTTTAGATTCCTGGATCCCTAGACTCACCTTATATCAGTCTTCATATGCTGGATAATTGCCGTGACTAGATTCTCAGCCAGTCGTCCTTCTGGAGCATTTGATGGAAGCTCAGCCACACTTGTGCTGAGAGAGGGGGGAGCTACCGTATCTGGATTTGTGAGATCAAAACATCTGGAACTCGAAGAATGAGCTGGAGACGGTTCCGATAGCTCCGAATGCTCCAGTGGCTCCGAAAGATCTGATGGCTCCGACGACTCCAACGATTCCTCCCATGGCATCAATGGCTCCGACGACTCTGAGGATTCCGACGACGAATCAAACTCTAATGATGAAATTTTGAGTATTCGAGACAGTGGTGGAGCCGGAGGAGGTGAGGACATTTTTGAGATCTAAAAAAAAGAAAAATATTAAAAAATGGTGCATCTACCGGGTCCCCTTCGAGCTCAATTATCTCGGTTCCTATAAGAGATATCAAAAATTCCTCAACTGATAAATTTCTTATCATAATATCACCAATATTTTATCAGTTAACTAATTTTTGATATCTCTTGTATGAACCGAGATAGTTGAGCTCAAAGTGTATGCATAGGGTGGACTATTATTAGAGATAATACGGTTATAGCCTCCATGACCAAACTTTCACATTTCTGGGTCAATTTTTTACCACTACTTCTTAATCTGTTTATTCTTTAGAAATTGATTTTAAAAAACCAAATCATGCGTCACAGGCGCGCCAGCTAAACTAGAGTGGTCAGTAGAAACAAGTCAACAAAAGTAGAGAGAAAGAAGAGAACGCGGAAAAGGAGGAAAAAGAGGAAAGAAGAGCGAAGAGAGGAAAAGAGGAAAAAGGCTGCAGCCATTTTCAAACCCGAATTTCAGAGCTTCAACAAGAGATTTCTTCAGATATTTTTGTGCATTCCAATAGAAATTTTTCAGAGCTTTCCAATGATATATAACACTTTATATATTCCCTTTTTCAAAAATGTCATATATTCGAAATTCCATACTGCTACTGGCTGAGCTAGAAGCATTCTCAAAGGCAGTAGGCTCTAGGGGCCCTTCTAGTACAGGTCTCACGGTAATATGTTCATCTGATAAGCGAAACCTTATCAATCATCAATTTTCCTTATCAAAACGAAGGGGAAAATCGAAAAACAAGCGTCGAACACACACCGCTGACCAAATGAAGAGGGGGGAAAGTGAGAAGAAGGAGGCATACATTTCCAACGGCAACCCCTAGATGAAGAGATACAATTAGAAATTGAGAGACATTAGAAAATGAGAGCAAAATTTCTGGTGAGAGTGAAGTGGTGACCCCTACTCGTGGTGATGCATAATAGGAGACGACGGAGACGCAGAGGGTGAAAGGAAAAGAAAAAACAGAGAGTTGGCAGCTTATGGGTCATTTTTTGACATTTTTCTGAATAGGATCATATAAAGTGTTATATATCATTTTGAAGCTCCGGAAGATTCCTATCAAAAAATTTAATAAGATTTGGAATTAGTTATTGTTGAGGTTTTGAAATTTGGGTTTGAAAATGGTCCTAAAATATTAGGGAATTCCCCCACCTCCCTCTTGGTTGGCAGCAGTATCGGTTAATGAAGAATCATCATTTTTTGCATTATTCCAAAAGGGACCATATAAAGTGTTATATATCATTGGAAAGCTCTTAAAATTTGCTGTTTAAAAATATAAGAAAATTAAGGATTAGTTAATGTTGAAGTTTTGAAAATTGAGTTTGAAAATTGTATCTCTATTTTTCGGAAAGGCCTGTCCTGAAAGCTATTCTATAATGTTTTTCATCCCAATTTTTAATGTTCCTACTAGGATTGAGTCATCTGCCATTTTCCTCTGCGTCTCTCACTGGAATTGTGCTCTCTCGTAATCTCATTAGAGCTCGTTTGCATATTTTGTTTGTGTCTATGGAAACAGAAAAATTGTTTTCCCTTCGTTCCCAACAAATATAATGTTTTATATTTTTTTCCTGTTCTCTCTCTCTTTTTCTCATCTTCTTCTTTTTCTCTTTTTTTTGAAAAAAAAAACGCCGCGCTTTTTTTGAACAGATGTTCTCAATCGACAGGTGGTCGAAAATTGATGGTTTTGTATGTTTTTTTATCGAAGTAAAAAAGAAATTCATGGTAATTTTGAGTGGGAATTTCTAATTTAAGTTCCTAAAAGATAGACTTGAGATTCAGTACAATTTTGTAAAAGCGCTCTTAACTTTGAGCTCAAGTATCCCGGTCCCTATAAATGATATCGAAAATGCCTTAACTGCTAAAATGTTAGTAATATTATGATAAATAATTTATCACACAATTTTGATATCCTTGACAGGAAGAGAAATAAATTGACTCAAAGTTAACAGTCAAGATCCTCTCCATTACAGGTTTTACAGTATTAGATTCAGCAATTGTTGTTTCGTCCTTTATTTTTCTTGCAATTTTTTAATTTTTCAGCCAAAACATGAAAACCTACAAGCAGCTGAACCCGATTGGCTGGGAGGTTATCTTGGAGAATATGGACACGAATTTCAGGTAAATTGAATTTTAATTCTGTCAAGTTTGAGCTTATTCATATTGTTTTCTATGCAAAATATCAAACAGTTGTCAACTGATAAATTATTTATCATAATATCATCAATATTCCATTGGTTGAGAAATTTTTGATATCTTGTACAGGAAATGAGATAATTCAGTTCAAACTTTATAGATATGAGGGTCCCTTCTATCCCGGTTTGCCGTTTGTAATCAAACGTTTACTGTAATAAGAGTTTTGCCACTTTAAAACCGCTTATCTCGCTTCATTGGATTTCTACAAGAAAGTGGGCAAATAATTCGGAGGGTACAAAAATTTAGGGGTCATTGGGGTACAAAGCAATTAAGGGGTACGAATTCATCAATTCGAAGGTACAAAACACCGGAAAAAAAGCTTAGTTTGTATCCCCGAATTGTGGATTTTGTACTCCTAAATTACTTTGTAGCCCTTGTACCCCCGAATTATTGTACCCTCCGAAGGTCCAATTTTCTTTAGTAAACTCTGAAATTTTCCGAAAAATCGAAAAATTTCAGATGATTTTTTTGAGGACTTCGAAGTTGATTATCTTCTATTGGAGGGGCCCAAAATTCAACGAAAAGTGACATGTACTTTTTGAGCTCAATTATCTCAGTTCCTATGAGAGATATCAAAATAATGTCAACGGATAAAATATTGGTGATGTTATGATAAACAATTTATCAGTTGAATACTTCTTGATTTCTTCAAGAGGAACCAAGATAACTTAGCTCAAAGCTGAGAGTTAGGAGATGATTCTATTATTTAGCACACTGACTGCTGAATTATCTCGGTTCCTGTCAAAGATAAAAAAGATTTCTACTGATAAATTGTTAATAAATATTTTATCAGTTGACAGTATTTTGATATCCCTCACAGGAACCGAGATAATTGAGCTCGTAGTTGACGGTTTGGGTAGGCTTCTCATGGAAAAAATTACTGTAGCCAGCAATTCAAAAACTAGTTTCAACTTATCAAAAAACCTGAAAGTGAGACTTGTTTTTAATGTAACAAAATACCTAGAATTCAAACTTTATATTCTTCCAGAATCAAGCTCAACAAACATCCCAAACTCGCCGCAGTCAACAAACGGGTCCCACTCCATATCAACAAGCTCGAACTCTTTTCTCGTGGTTTTATTGTAGATGGGACCAACTACTCAGTTTTTGATGTAGTTTATGGGAAAGTGTGTTTTGCAATAAACTACAAAACTGTCGAGCAAACGGAGCGAAAGGAGGAAATGGAGAAGTATAATGCGTTTCTGATTTCAAAACTACTTGCCGGGAAAGTGAATGTTATGCGGTGTGTGTTGTATCCAATGGACTTCTTGCCAGCGTCAGGACCAATTTTCACAATTCAGGAATTGATCTTTCAAGGGTACAAAGGATCCAAAGAAACTCTTGTCCCCTTCCAGGCCCTTGTATCTCAAGAATCTTTGCCACTGTCCAAAATACTAGTGAATTGATTTTGAAAGCCAATTTGAATTCATTGATCGATTCTTTTTTTTAATTCTATAATACCTGTTTTGTTTTTTTTTGTAAGCTTGAAATATCAATTTTCATTAATAAAACAATTTTTTTAATCTCAATTTTCTAATTTCTCACTTCTAAGAAGACCCAGTATGAGCATCCCTTTGTCTTTGGTTGAAAATTTTCAAAATTCTGAAAATCTTATTTCATACCTACGCCCAAAACTGAGTAGTTTTTCAAGCTCAACATTAAAATTTATAGGTTTCTGAGATTTCGAGCTTTAAATTGAGCTTAATCATGCCTTGAATTGGTCAACTTTCAAATCCGATGCCTAACACATGACGCGCGACCGCGACGCACGCAAAAAACAAAGAAGAGCAAATCTAGTTGTGTTTGGGCTCATTTTGAAGCTTTTGTTGTAAGAAACTTGTAAATGCTACATTGGTAAAATTCCAGATTTTACAGATTTCCCAGAAATCGCAGATTTTTAAGATTTTTCGGAAATTACCGATTTTACAGATTTTCCTCAATTTCCAGTTTTTCCAAAAATTCAAGATGTTACACATTTCCCAGATATTCCAGATTTTACAGATTTTTCTAAAATTCCAGATTTCACAGATTTTCCTAAAATTTCAGATTTTACAGATTTTTCCAAAATTCCAGGTTTTACAGATTTTTCCAAAATTCCAGATATTACAGATTTTCCAGAATATCCAGATTTTACAGGGGTTTTCTAAAAATGCAGATTTCCCAGATTTCCAGGAAATTCCAGAAATTCCAAAATTTCAAGCTTCAAGAATCAGAATTCCTAGATAAAGTTCATAATATTCCATTTCTCATACAATATTCATGGAAAAAAATCTCTAAAAAACAAAAAAAGGAGAAAATTATGTAAAAATTCACGATTCGATCATTCTAACCACTCCAACAGATGCATACAACGCTCTTCTAGATTCTCCAAATTCAAAATCGTGCTCTTGCAGCGTGTACAAAAATTCAGAGCCATCAGACAGGCAATCTTGGCTGATTCTTGTCCTATTGTCCTCTTGGGTCTTCTCCGAATCTCTAGGCTCCGTGAGCTCAATAAAAATGTTGTCCTTCACATGCCCTTTGAATTCTGGAGCCATCAATGTCCAAAACTTGCTTTTCGGAATCCTCTTCTCCTCCATATCATCCGAATAAAGTGCCATAAGATTCGTCCAGAGGCTCGCATGGAAGAATGGAAGATCCGTTGGCTTTTTGAACTTCCTTAGCTTCTTCTCTGCTCCAAAATCTCGGAATTCTCTCACCAGTCCTCGAGTCCTTCCTTTTGCCAACACATTCGAATACCAATTCTGAAGGCGTTCGGGTCCCGGGTACTTCTGCTGGGGTGGGTGGATATTTAGTAGGTAGTCATCTCCAGGTTGTGGGGGATCCACCCAAATGTATCCCTTCAGGAATCCAGTCCGCCTCATCCAATCAAAATAGGTTAGTACAATTTCATTGTACACCTCGGTTTTGAAGCTGTGTGGTTGGAAATGTTGGACACTATCCAGGTAATCCAATACGAACCATGATGGGCCATCTCCATGGTTTGGGTACTCAGAAGTGAAGATGATGAAGAACAACTGCTCGATTCCCTTCTGTCTTTGAAACACAAAAATTGTTCGGACACTTCGCTGGACCTTGTCTTTGTACTTCTTCAGAAACTCGTTTGAGAACATTCCAGGTGCCAGATTTATCGTATCCACATCTGATTGAGCTCTAACAATTCTTACAGAGATTTTTTGTGGCTTCTTCTGAGGGTCTCCGCCAAGCTTTGAATCCAAAAACTCATTCAACGTTCTCTCCATAAAATCCGAGTCTCTGGTCCTTGTCTTATCAGTTAGCACAGTCTGATAAGCATCCGAATCACAAGATCTACAGATAAACTCTTCTGGATCATCATAGTAGAAGGAGCATTGCTCATGCCAGAGCATTCCACATTCCTGGCAGCTGAGAACCTTCTCAATCTTCTCATTCACATTAATCATCCTCTTCCATTTCTTCTTATCAAGATCAGTGGCTTTTGAGAAGCATTCAACGCAGTAATTGATTTCGATAGATCCTTGAATCTTCTTTTCCACCATATATGGCTCCATAGCTTTGATTCGGCAATCTTGGTCGGCTTGGCATTTTCTGTTGGAGGTGCTGAATTGAAGATCGGCGACTTCAGAGCAACAGGTAAGTTGGGGGACCTGGAAAGTTGAATTTTTTTTAAAGATTTGAGATTCCTAGATCCTAGATCCTAGATCCTAGATCCTAGATCCTAGATCCTAGATCCTAGATCCTAGATCCTAGATCCTAGATTCTTAGAATCTTGGATTTCCAACAAAAAAGCTCACCATTTTAGCTTTTTTGACCCTTGTTCCGCCACTCGTTGACTTGATTCTCGAATTTTGAGCACTAACAGTCGGATCTTCTTCTTTCTCTTGTTCCTTCGTCGCCTGGAAATTAGAAATTATAATTTTTGAGAATCCTAGATTTTCAGATTACTAGATTTCCAGATTTCTAGCATTCTAGAATCCTGAGTTTCTAAAAAACTCACCATCTCCGTTCTCTTGCTTCTTCGTGATTTGGTTTTAATTCCATCGTCTTCCATATTTTCAACAGTATCCTTTGAATTCAAATCCTCATTTTTTGATGGCCCTGCTTTTTCAGCCTGGAATTTTAGATTAAAAAAAAAAAATTTTTTTTCTATTTCTCGATTATTCGATTCTCCAGATTCCTAGATTTTAAAATGTTCAGATTTACAGTTGCCGTACTCACCAATATCCGATTTCTGCTCCGTCCCATCGTTTCGAAATCTTCTACAGTATCCCTTGAATTTTCGATCTCCTCCTCTTCGACTTTTTGATTTTCCTTGTCTTTCAAATAATCAGATTCCTCTTCTAGAACTTTTGAAAGATGCTCACTGAGCTTTTGGGATTCCTGAGCGGCTGGATGCGCAATTGCTGGTTGTGGTTGGGATGATTCGGGCTTTTGAACTGGCTGGAAATTTTTAGATTAAAATTTTTATGATTTTTTAAAACTCTAGAGCTGAAATTTCGATTTTTTTTATATTATAAAACCTAAAATTGAATTAAAAAATTCTAGAATTCCTCACCTTCTCTTCTGATCCTTGAGTACAATCCGGACACGTTGGGCAAATACGGACTTTTTGAACTCGTTTCCGTTTGTTTTCCAGAATCATCTGAATTCTAGAAAACTTGCTTTTTAGAAAAAGAGAAAAAAAAAGAAAAATCGATCAAAATTTGTTGAAAAAAAAAAGAAAATAGAAATTCGCACAGTTTAAAAAATGGAGATCAAAAATTTTAGATCATAATTTTTTTTTGAAAAATTGAACATCCAAAAGTTGGAATAAAAATCAGTTTAGAGCCAAATGAGTGATTAAGATTGTAAAATTTCCAGAATTTTGGTCCAATTTATATAGAAAAAAAAGAAAAAAGGACCAGAAATACAAAATGCAAATGAGGAAAAATTGAAAAAAACAGGCAGAAGAGCAGATGGAGGCAAAGATTAATAGGGCGAGATTGAACATCCGTCATGTTTTTTCTATAAATTTTGAAAAAGAAAAAATGTTGGTCCAAAAAAGAAGAAATCTTCTGTCTAGGTTCGGAATACCATTCCCCCCCCCCCCCCCCATACCGTAATCTTTGAGCTCATATATCTCATTTCCTGTTATAGATATCAACAAATTGTCAACTGATAGAATGTTTATCATATTATCACCAATATTTCATCAGTTGACACATTTTTATATCTCTTTTGGGAACCGAGATAAATTATCTCAAAGTTCAAGTTGGGAAACTCAAGACAACTTTTAAAGTCCACAGATTTCAAAGCGAGTTCTGAATACTAAAATTCATACAAACCAAAGCATGTTACCTATTAAACCCCGAATACATATTTCTAATGAGCACACCTGCCTTTCTAATTTTCTCTTACCTTTTGAGAAGCTCCAATTATGATATTAGCTAGAGAAAGGAGGCGGAAGGATACAAAAAGAAGGATGCATGGTTTAGGGCTCACACGGACAGATGTTATATTCCTGATCAGGTTAAATAGACAATTTGAAAACTGAACTACTTTTTTAGGCGCTGAAAATGTCAGAAAAAGCTATGGAAATTTCAGATCATACAATCAGCTTCTAGGAGCTTCAGAAGCTACCGTAAACCCTCTAATGATGTGCAATTCAAACCGTCACCTTTGAGCCCACAGTGTAAAACATATAAAAAAGTGATCAACTGATAAAATTTGATATCTTTCACTGAAACTTAGATATATGGGCTAAAAGCTGACGGTTCGAGTGGTACAGTGTTAGAGTTTTCACAATAATGTCCACATCCTACAAAAAATGAGCATTTTTAAATCTATCTGACCTGAAACCAAAAAAACCTGCGCGGCAGGTGCGCCATCCCGTTTAACATTACCTAACATATATATAATTTCCCCTCATGCTCTCTCCCTCTCTTATCCTCTCTCACTGGCTTCCTTTCATCATAACTCCCTCCTTTTTTTTTTCCTCCCGCGTGCGCAAAAGAAGCGATTAGCGAGAACGGACCAGGTACATAGGAACACGCGTATGGGCCAAGAACACCTGTTCTTCTTCTGAACGTAAGGATGCCTAGAATCATTCCGGCTAATTTAGCTGGCCGGCTAGAAAGAAGGAGGAGCACGATAGGAGCGTTAGGAGCAATTAAAAAGAAAAGAGAGAGAGAGAACCTCTAAACGCTATCTGTAAGCTATCCACAAGCCAACAAGGGTATAAGAGAATCATGATAAGCTAGTCGTGTGCTATAAAAGAGTTAGCTTGGTGCTAGCTAGCTATCAGCGACGCCAACAAGTTATCAGCAATGCCAGCGATGCCAGCAAGCTATCATTGACATCTCCCTTCAAGCTAATAAGCTTGATGAGCTATGAGCTAGCTATCAATGGGACTAAATCGCTATGGTCATCTTTCTATTAAACCTGCTCTACAATATTCAACAAATGTCAAAACAACCCCTAAATCTAGATTACAGGCGAGAGGGGACACACTTATCCGATACTAAACGGTCAAAAGGAAGAGAGCTACCACCCACACCACACCTAAAAAAGGTAGAAGAAGAAGATGGTCACTATTATAGGATTATTGTAGATGAGGAGGACATAGACGGAAGAACAGAAGAGGTAGAAGAGGGAAGAGGTCCCCCTCCTCGCGCACAGTCTCACCTTTCTTGTATGTAAGCGTTAAGTGTGTGTATCATTATGTAACGTGTCCTACCGGTGCGTTTCATAAGTATAGGTTCACCCTCGGTAGACAGGTGGGAAATCTTGGAGGTTTGGGGTTGTTATAATATTAAAGTCCATGTAAAAATACATATCGCCCACAATTTTTAGACCGCTACTACAAAAAATAAATTTTTTATGTCAGAAAAAGTCTTTTTTTTGAAAAACGAGCGTTTCATAAGTATAGGTTCACCCCCGGAAAATTTAACATTAACAAAGTTTTATTCAATTCAATACTTTGTGGGCTTTCCACCAGTGGAAATAATAGAAAACAAGCGGTTTGGCATGGAATTTAACAACTTCTGGAGGTAAGGCTTCTTCAGGTTCTTCCATGCGTCCACGATGGCAGTTTGGAGCTCAGAAACGGTCTGGTATTGCTTTCCCTGACCATATACGACGCGCACGAGTTCAGCCCAAACATTCTCCATTGGGTTCAAATCCGGCGAACAAGCCGGCCAATCCATCACCTTGATTTTTTTGGACTTGAACCAGTCCAAAGTCGATCTGCTCGCATGAATCGAAGCATTGTCCTGTTGATATGTGAGCTGACGCCGATGAAAACGGCGAAGATATGGGATCAGTTTGGCAGTCATGACATCCTGATAGTCTGTCGAGTTCATTCTGAAGGAGACGAACGCCAAATCCACAGTACCGGCAGAAGAGAATGCTCCCCAGACCATAAGACGACCACCACCGAAGTTACGCTTGGAGAAATGGAGGGGATCCTTCTTCAGGTCGTGCCAGTAACTGTTGAAGCCGTCCGGCCCGTCCAGATTGAACTTTTTTTCATCGCTGAAGATGATCTGTAATAGAAAACAGCATAAGTGATGATTTCAAAAGCATTCCATACCTTATCCCAATCAGTTGCCATGTTGTTCCTTGCAAACTGAAGTCGGTTCGCCTTGTGAGCATCGGTGAGCATCGGCGCGGACATTAACTTGGCTCGGACAATGTTCTGATTGCTGTCCAGTGTTCTCCAGACCGTGGACTTGCACACATCCAGTTTCAGCTCATTCTTTATGTCGTTACAGCTCTTCATCGAATTGGATGCCAGTCTGATGATGCTTCTCGTGTCTCGATCCGTCAATTTTTTTGGAGCTCCGCTCTTCTTGTTGGTCTCGTAGTGGTCCGGATTGTTAACAAACGTGTTAATACAATTGAAAGACCGTCCTAGCCTAGCTGCGATGCGACGATTCGACCATCCAGCCGTTTTGAACGCGTCGATCTGAGCTCGCTCCGAATCCGAGAGATGAGTGGCTCGCGGCATAAGAAAAACGAAGTAAAAGACGCAAAAATAGTTAAAAACAGTAAAAATAGTTAAAAAGTTATCACCTATGTGAAACTGTAATTTTTTTCAAGGGTGAACCTATACTTATGAAACGGTCGTTTTTCAAAAAAAAGACTTTTTCTGACATAAAAAATTTATTTTTTGTAGTAGCGGTCTAAAAATTGTGGGCGATATGTATTTTTACATGGACTTTAATATTATAACAACCCCAAACCTCCAAGATTTCCCACCTTGTCTACCGAGGGTGAACCTATACTTATGAAACGCACTGTACTTGACCGGATGTTTCTTTTTATTTGATTCTGATCATTTTCAGGAGTCTGTAGCTCGGCTGCCAAGATTCCAATCACCTTGAAAATTTAGGAGGGTGTAGAACATACCTAGATTGACAGATTTGCATTCGCAGATTTTTTGAAAATTCCTAGTTTTTCAGCTATTTTCCGATTTCCGAAATACCTGTTTTTTTTCACTATATCACATTTAGCATCAACTATCATCACTTTAGTTTTCATTAAAATGCCCTTTCCTCGTTTTAATTAGCTCTTCCTGCAGCTAATTAAAATAGGTACTTCCTCATTATTGTAATCGATACATACATATGTTCTTATGCAGATTAGAATGCCCTCTCTTTCTGCTACTCTCTTGTTACGTAACTTTCCTTTTCCCCCTCCCCGTCTTTCTTTGTGTGTGTGTGTGTACCAATGTTTGCATAATGATGATTGTCACTTGTCTCATTTGATGTATTACTTGACGCCCTAAGATGGACTCCGGTAGATCGGTATTATTTTTTTATGAGAAAGGAATTTTATTAGTTCGATGGATGACTTATTTGATCATTGACTTTTTTTTGAGCTCTAGGAAGACAATCTCATGGTTCTTTTGGGGATAATAAACTTCCGGAATCTGCAGAATTTGCTAGAAGCTTTTCCAGAATCCTGAAATTCGAAATTTTTACACTTCTTCTAGTTCAGCTATTCAGGGAGGCTCCGAGTCTAGCGTAAATGCGCTAATACAAGTCCACCCTATACGTTTCCTTTAAGCTCGAATATCTCGCCTCCTGTGAGAGATTTCAAAAATCGCTCAACAGATAAATTGTTTATCATAATATCATCAATATTTTATCAGTTGAAAAATTGTTGATGCCTTTCATAAAAGCCGAGATAATTGAGCTCAAAGTGTACGTATAAGGTGGGCAAGAAACTACGGTATAAAATCAATAGGTTCAATATCACCTTGTCATTTTTCAAGATATTTTTTTTTCGTTTTTTTTTTCCACACATTTTATTTTCAACGTTCTTGTCTCCAGGGGCCCCATTTTTGGACACCTAATACATAATCAGAGTCTTGCTAGACACAATTTTTCTTCATTTTCATATTTTCTACCATTCCTATTTTTCACCATTTCTTTCAATATTATTCACTAGCTTATCAATTAAATTTTCATATCGGCTTGTTTTTTAATGACACTATCATCGTTTTCTTTTTAAGACTCTTGTCAGTAATTCAAAATGACCCTCATATTAGTCTATATCATATCACTTTGAGTTGCTATCAGATACCTGTTAAGACTGTTATCATTAACATCTACAACTCTTATCAATTGCCTTTTTAATGTTCTTATCTTTGAGTTAGCAAAAGCTTTTTTATCAGCTCGTAGCATGTTTCCTCGTTCAGTCATTCATCAGTTTGTTTGTTTAACCTCCATATAGGTAAAAGTTCTTATCAGTAATCCTTATCAGTGTTTAGCGTATTATTGAGCAAACCACTAACTTCCTTTTTAATCAGCTTTCCTGTTTATGGCTATTTTCATAATCATCTCCTTTTTTTTGTTATTTGTGTGTGGGCCTTTAGCTCAAATACCGTAATTGCTCTAATAGAAGCCCATCTAATACTTGAACTCTGAGCTCAATTATCTCGGTTCATTCAAAATATCTCAAACTATTTTCAACTAACAAATTATTTACAATGATATCACCAATATTTTATCAGTTGGCAGATTTTTAATATCTCTTATAGCAACCGAGATAATTGAGCTCAAAGTAGAGGTGATAAAATTCGTTTGAACAAAACTAGAAAATGTGAATGTAGTCGTAAAACTACAAAATTTTTGTGCGGAATCATAAAGCATGAGAACCAATAAAAGTAGGTCTTTCTGTTATTTAGAATATTCCCTTTTCAACAGTTTTCAAATTTTCTCTCTCTCTCTGTCTCTCTCATTTGGCACACTTTTAATTTTCTAGAACTTTTTGCAAATTTCTGGTCTCTTTTGATTACATAAAAAGTGACTCATCTGCGTCTCTCTTATGGTAATGCTATTCTTAATTGCCCCTGAGCAATGATGGGAAAGAATGTGACCTTTTAGAAGTACATACCTTCCTTTTTTCTCTTTTGAACTTTTTTTGTGTCATCTTTTAGTTGATTTTACTAGTAAACTAGTCTTAAAAATTTTTTTTTCAGCCTAAATTTCAGACATTTCAAACATTTCAACCACTCTTGTACATTTCTTTCTTTCTGGTTCCTACTCTTTTTGAACTCACAAAGGTACAAAAATTGCTCAGTTGGTGTTGTCCTTGTGTGTGTGCCTACAAAATGTCGCGCGGGGTGATAAAATGTGAGAAATTGAGAAAGATGACAGAATAGAAATGGATGTTATGAATCGATTGTTCCTTTTTTTTCCATTTTTCTTTCTCATTTTATGTTGATGGTTTCTTCCTTTTTTCTCTTGTCTTTTGCTGATTCCATTTGAAAAGTTTCAGCATATCTTTCACTTCTTTTTCTACTTTTGGATTCTTCTTCTTCTCCTACTTTTTTTTCACTTTTCTCACTAGCAATTTCAATTTTTTCAGATCAAAATGGACAAAAACCCAAGAAGCTCAAAAACAAGTTCGTCGAGCACGATTCATCAGAAGATGAGGACATCGAGAATGGAAGACCAGGGACTTCTAGCAAGAAGAATAAGAAGATGAAGCCGGTGAGTCTCTATTCAAAATGATCGAAAACTTATTGTCAGTCTAACGTGTAGCTCAAAAAATGAGTCTGAAAATTATAATAGCTCAAAAATAGATGAGACGCTTCTAATAGTTCGGAAAACAAGACAGAACATTCTAATAGCTCGAAAAATGAGCTAGAAACTTCTAATAGCTCAAAACATGGATCAGAAAATTTTAAAAGCTCAAAAAACAGGTCAGAAAGTTCTTATAACTCAAAAAATGTGTCAGAAAAAATATGTTAGCTCAAAAAGTGGTTCAGAAAATGCTGATAACTCAAAAAACGGTTCAGAAAGTTCTAATAGCTCAAAAAGTTTGTCGGAAAATTCTAATAGCTCGAAAAATGGTCAGAAAATTCTGATAGCTTATAATAATGGGTCAGAAAATTCTAATAGCTCACAAAATGAATCACTATGTTTTAATAGCTCAAAGCATGAATCAGAAAAGTCTAATAACTCGAAAAATGAGTCAGAAAGTCATAATAGCTCAAAATATGGGTCAGAAGAATATAATAACTCAACAAATAGATCAGGACGTTCTAATAGCTCAAACAATGGGCCCGGAGATTCTAATAACCCAAAAAATGAGTCAACAAATTTTCTAAGCTCAAGAGTAGGTCAAAAGTTGTCTATAAACTCAAAGCATGAACTAGAAAAGTATAATAACTCGAAATACGGGTCAGAAAGTTCCAATAGCTCAAAAAATTGGCCGGGAGATTCTACTAGCTCAAAAAATAGGTCAGGACGTTCTATTAGCTCGCGAAATGAGCCAGAAAACTCTAATAGCTTAAAAATAAGTCAGACGAAATAAGTCAGTACGTTCTGATAGCTCAAAAATGTGCCAGGAAGTTTTAATAGCTCACAGATCGACGCGTTCAAAACGGCTGGATGGTCGAATCGGCGCATCGCAGCTAGGCTAGGACGGTCTTTCAATTGTATTAACACGTTTGTTAACAATCCGGACCACTACGAGACCAACAAGAAGAGCGGAGCTCCAAAAAAATTGACGGATCGAGACACGAGAAGCATCATCAGACTGGCATCCAATTCGATGAAGAGCTGTAACGACATAAAGAATGAGCTGAAACTGGATGTGTGCAAGTCCACGGTCTGGAGAACACTGGACAGCAATCAGAACATTGTCCGAGCCAAGTTAATGTCCGCGCCGATGCTCACCGATGCTCACAAGGCGAACCGACTTCAGTTTGCAAGGAACAACATGGCAACTGATTGGGATAAGGTATGGAATGCTTTTGAAATCATCACTTATGCTGTTTTCTATTACAGATCATCTTCAGCGATGAAAAAAAGTTCAATCTGGACGGGCCGGACGGCTTCAACAGTTACTGGCACGACCTGAAGAAGGATCCCCTCCATTTCTCCAAGCGTAACTTCGGTGGTGGTCGTCTTATGGTCTGGGGAGCATTCTCTTCTGCCGGTACTGTGGATTTGGCGTTCGTCTCCTTCAGAATGAACTCGACAGACTATCAGGATGTCATGACTGCCAAACTGATCCCATATCTTCGCCGTTTTCATCGGCGTCAGCTCACATATCAACAGGACAATGCTTCGATTCATGCGAGCAGATCGACTTTGGACTGGTTCAAGTCCAAAAAAATCAAGGTGATGGATTGGCCGGCTTGTTCGCCGGATTTGAACCCAATGGAGAATGTTTGGGCTGAACTCGTGCGCGTCGTATATGGTCAGGGAAAGCAATACCAGACCGTTTCTGAGCTCCAAACTGCCATCGTGGACGCATGGAAGAACCTGAAGAAGCCTTACCTCCAGAAGTTGTTAAATTCCATGCCAAACCGCTTGTTTTCTATTATTTCCACTGGTGGAAAGCCCACAAAGTATTGAATTGAATAAAACTTTGTTAATGTTAAATTTTCCGGGGGTGAACCTATACTTATGAAACGCTCGTTTTTCAAAAAAAAGACTTTTTCTGACATAAAAAATTTATTTTTTGTAGTAGCGGTCTAAAAATTGTGGGCGATATGTATTTTTACATGGACTTTAATATTATAACAACCCCAAACCTCCAAGATTTCCCACCTTGTCTACCGAGGGTGAACCTATACTTATGAAACGCACTGTATGAGGAAGAGGATGCTGATGATTGTTATGATTGGGTAGACGACAAGGATGATGAAGATTATCTGGAGCCGGAAGATGAGTGGAAGGAGAATGATGCGAAGGTGAGTTTCTGTCTACATGATCTAGATTCTAGATCCCTAGATTCGAAAATAAAAATTATTTTACAAAGTTTTTTGTTTAAAAAAAGTTTTCTGATACCGTTTCGCGGGTACCCTACATTAAATTTTTGCAGAGAACCAAGACAAAAAAAATGGTCAGGAGAGACGAAGAAGATTCAAATGACGACGATTGGGAAGACGATGAGGATGACGACGTCTCGGTGAACCAACCAACGACGTCAAAAGGAAAGATCATCGAGAACGACTCACCAGAAGAGGATGAGATCGATATTGGAAGAGCTGGGACTTCTAGCCAGCAGATGAAAACGAAGAAGAAGGTGAGGTTTCTTTTCTATACTAAAATTGAATGCTAAAACTGAATACCGTAAAACCTGTATTAGAAGGGCCGGCCCTTCTATTTTTCCAACGTCTTCGGAGGGACCTTCTATTACAGGGGCCCTTCAAATAGAGGGGCCCTTCTATTTTTCCAGTCATTTTTCCCGAAAATTTCCATCGGAAAAATCGACGATTTTTCGTTAAAAAAATCATGAAAATCTGTCAATTTCATCAAAATTTAGCAAGATTTTCATTGAAAAATAGAGTTTCAACAAATTTTTATTAAACTGCGGAGTTCCCGAAATATGGTCCACTAAAAAAGTACGAAAATTTTCTGATTTCAAAACAAATTTTAAAGGGGGGTGGGGGTCCTTTTTCACAGAGGGCCCTTCTATTACGGGGGCCCTTCTATTACAAAGGGCTCTTCTATTTTTCGAAGCCCCTCTCGGAGAGCTATTCTATTAGGGGGGGGGGGGGGTCCTTCTATTGAAGGGGCCTTTCTAATACAGGTTTTACGGTATATACATTACCGGTCAGTAAGATATACAAAAACGACATTCAATAGTCTAGAGCTCGGCTTTCAAATTTCCCTGTATCGCTGTGAAAACGTTGGAATGTGTGAAACAGACCTGGATTGAAAACTTTGCATTCACAGATTTTTTTTGAAAATTCCCAGTGTTTCAGCTACTTACCGACTTTGTTAGTGTCTGAAAATGATATGAGAATTTAAAATTTTCAGAGGATTTCAAACTAGTTTTCGCCGCTTTTAAGACGATTTTCAGGCAAACTGCAGACTGAAAATCGATGGAAAATCACTAAATAGACAATTTCAAATAATTTCAGACTATTTTCAAATGATTTTTAGGAAAATTTTAGACAGATAATCGATTGAAAATAGCCGGAAAATTATATATAACTCGATTTTCAATAAAGTCAATTTTAAGAATTATTGTCAGACGATTAAAAATACAATTTCATACTTAAAATTGTCTGAAAACTGGAAATCACTTAAAATAATTTTCAGCCGATTTTCAGCCGATTTTTAGTCGTTTTCAGGCAAATAGGGTGTCTTTCAGAAATGGCAAATATCTGAAAAACTAAGGATTTCAAAAAATTCTGTGAATACAAAGTTTTCAATCTAGGTCTGTTTTACACCCTCCAAAATGTTCAAAGTGATCGGAATCTTGATAGGCGAGCTCCAGACCCTTGAAAATGGCTGAAAATCAACTGAAAAATACGTTTTTGTATACCTTATTGGCCGGTACTGTATATGCATGTCATATAACTATATATTAGAAAGTATACAAAAATGATAGAATATGTATACTAAAATTGTTTTACAGGTAATGTATACTAATTTATGATTTTGCAGAAAGCCCAGAAAATGAAAGTGGTCATGGAGGACGAAGATTCAGATGGTTTTTGTTGGAAAGATTATGAGAAAGATGATGATTGGGTGAAGCATGTGGCAAAAAAGAACCTGGTGTGTCCAGAGCAAAATTGCGAAGTAAAAATTGGGTAAGTCCATCTCACTATCTGTTATGTTTCGAAATAATTAAATTTTCTTTCAGATATCCATCCGATCTCAGAAAGCATCTGAAACGGGCCCACTTTGCGAACCTGAGCGGAAAAAAGCTGGAAGAACGAGTACGTGCTGCTTGCGAGGAATGGATAAAAGCCAGAAAGTTGATTCTTGAGAAGGCTAATAGCAAAGGACTAGAGAAGGCTCCGAAGGACCTGAAGTGCTGCTGTGAGATATTGGACCTTCCGTACAACGTGTCCAACTTGTACTGTAAGGGATCGGAAGTTTGTAGGATTCGCCCGAAGGAAAGATACTTTGGCTTGAAGCGCAAAGGACCAGAAGGCGAGGAAAGACAGTATTGGTGCAACAATTGTTTTCAAGAAGCCAAAAAAGATGGAATTGTGGATGTGAATCAATTTGTCTCGATGCAGAACAAAATCCTAAAATCAGAGGATATTCTGGAGTGCAATGGATGTCAAGGATCTTGGCACCGATGCTGTACCACTCATCTTGGAATCCGAGATGTTTTTTATGGTGTGATTCGTGTAAGAAGACCGAAAAACCAAGGATTGAAATGATGTCAATGGAGAAGGGAGCAAGTTTTATAGAGCAGCAACTCAACCAACGGATCTGTGAAGAAGTTCGTGATGCTCAGAAGATCAAGATTCTCTGCTGCACTACCGAAAAAGAAGCTCTTACTCGAAGCTTGGTTCCGAAGCATCTTGGAAACGAATTCGTTGCGAAATATGGAGAGAAAATCAGCTACAGAACTCGAGCCACCCACGCCTTCCAGCTTCAAGACGACGGTGACATGATATTCTTTACGATGCAGACTCAAGAATATATCCGACCAATTCGAGGAGATCCCAAAAGCTTCTTTGTAATTCAAATCCTGGATTCCGTGAACTACCTCCAAGGAGTGAATCGCACGTTCGTCTACCACCAGCTCCTTCTCTCCTACTTTGACTATATGCGATCCGTTGGAATTCTTCATGGCCACTTCCAGGCGGATCCACCATTGAAAGGAGATGACTACATCTTTCATGTACACCCGGAGAGCCAGGGATATCTCGACGAGAGAAGTTTGATAGGATGGTACAGAAAGATGATGGATCAAGGGAAAGCCGAATGGATTATCCAGAAGTTCGAGGATTTCAAGAAGGCGATGCCAGGGACAATCCAACCGGCCAGGGATCTTCCGCTATTCGATGGAGAGCTATGGAGCAAGGCGATGCTGGCAAGTGAGAAGGAGAAGAATTTTGAGAAAGCGATGAAAGAGCAGTACTCAATCCATGCCAACGACAACTTCTTCGTGAGCTACAGAAGCCAAAGGGGAAGATCGGACAGCTGGACCCTCGTCTCTTTCGGAACAAGATTTTGGAGAACGTCGATGAATTTTGGAAGCATCTGGCCATGAAGAACGCCGAGTTTGTGGATCGGAGAAGGGCAGTGCACTCGTCGCTTCGAGTCGTCAAGCTTGCAGAGAAGACCAAAATCGAGAAAGTTCAAGAAGATCGAGAACGAGAGAGACAAGTATGAGATTTTTTTTGCAGTTTGCATGTTTGTTTTTGTGTAGTTTGCTTCAATTAGTTTGTACCTAGATTCATAGAACATTGTCTAGATTCTCCTATTCTCATTAAGATCCTCCCACTCTCATCCAGGTTCTCCTACTCTTATCCAGATTCTCCTACTCTCCTCCAGGTTCTCCTACTCTCATCCAGATTTTCCTACTCTCCTCCAGGTTCTCCTACTCTTATCCAGCTTCTCCTACTCTCCTCCAGGATCTCCTACTCTCATCCAGATTCTCCTACTCTCCTTGGCTGCCATTTCTGATAATTTTCTTCGTTTTTTTCTTTCGATTCTTGGTTTCTTAACAATTTCGCTCCACTTATCTGATTTCTAAAGTTTCCAGCTAGATCTACAGTAGGAATTGGTATTTTCGTAGTCCTGTATTCATCTTTACATGATCATTTCCATCCATCTTCCGTCTGCACCCCTTCTTCCGTCTGCACCCCATCTTTTTGTATACTTGCGGTTCTGGGACCCTTCTACTCTATCGATTTATAGTTTGCCTGTTTGCGTGCATTCCTGAATCATATACCTCTCTCTTCTAATTGTTTATTAGGTTCACTTTCTCTTTCCAAATGATTTCCTCCTCATAGTTCACTGTTATTCTTTATTATCGCTTTTATTCTTTTTGTAGCTTACTTAAACTCATTAATCGGCTCTTAGTCATCTGGAATTCGTCTCTAGATAGCTGCTAGAATTTATCCCTAGATAACTGCTAGAATTTGTCCCTGGATAATTGCTCCTAGACAATAATTGGTTCATAGACATGTGAAATGTGATACAGATTCTTTTGGTATTAGTTTTATTCCAAAACTAGATTCTCGCTTTTAAACCAGTTGTTCCACTGATTTAGATCTTCACCAAAACTTTGTACAGGTAAATCTCAAATATTTTGCCCTCCTCTTCAAAAATGTCATTTTTCTCTCTCTTCCAAATTTAAGTTCTTCGTCCTACCAGTCTATCGGCTCTATCTACCTGTAAGTGAACTTTGAGCTTAATTATCTCAATTTTCATAAGAGATAAGAAAAATCTGTCAGTTAATAAAATCTTTGTCATAACATCATTAACATTTTATCAGTTGACAACATTTTGATATCTTTCAGGAGAATTGAGCTCAAAGGGCACCTATACGGTGGGCTTCTATAGGGGTGTTTACGGTAGCTCACCTTCCAAACTTTGAATAGTTAAATCTCGATTTCTCAAATTCATTTTTTTTTGTTGTTCCTCAGTCATAATGTCCTAGATTCTGTTAGTTTCAGTGTTTATAATTTCAAGCACCTCATTTTTGTTCTATGTTCCCCCCTGTGTCTATATTTTCCCATCAAAGTTTTTTTTTCCGTTGTGTTGTTTGCCGGTTTCCCTTTAATTTCAATAGCATCTTTTTTGTTTTGTTTGATCTCATGTTTCTTTAAGTTTGTAAATAAATTAGACTACTATGAATGTTGTCTTTTCACTAGATTCTAGGAGAATTGGTCTAGTACCAGTCATTTATACCTACATATTAAGCGACATCAATGCTTCGGATTATCCAAGTCAGGTAATTTTCAATAGTTTGGCTTCCATTTTTAATTATTTTCGAATTTCAGATTATTGGAATCTCAATGGGCTACCTCAGGATCCAGAAGACTTCAACAACTTCGAAATTGCTCAATTTTGAATCTATTCTACCAGGAGCCCAACATAACGAACTCATCGATATTCAAAGGACCAAAATAAAATAAGGCAACATGTTATGAAATTTCTGAAATATAAAAAAAATAATTTTCAGGTCACACAAGGACTCGAAAGTTTCCCATTTATCCCGAAATGTTGACCAAAGGATTTTTTACCATTTTTTCTTTTCTTTTTTTTTGAACCGATCTTCTACTCCTTCTCTTTCCCCTCTACTTACCACTCAACTCATCTCGATCATTTTCAGATCAGTTCATCCGACTCCGTCAACTTCAAGTGAACAATGGGCAAGACCAACAAGTATTACACCTGCGCATTTTGCCCAAAGGGCCTCTTCCCCAATTCTACCAGTAAGTAGTAATTAATTTCAGAGTAAATTCTATACGGATAACATTTTCAGAACTAAGGGACCATCAACGGAAAAAGCATGCCAACCGATGGATCCAGTGTTCAGAATGTAACGAAAAGTTTCTGAAGTCGGTTTTCCTTACTCATCAGAAAAAGAAGCACCCTAACTCCCAGCCTGGGTATGAGGTGAGTGTTTTTTAATGAAAAAAAGTTTCTTTTCAAAAGCCAAAAACGACAAGTTTGTTGTTGCTTTTGTAAAATTATGTATTTTCAGGTCGCTCCTCCCACTCCAGGTCCAGAAGCTCCAGACTCATCGATTCCGGAAGATGGAGGTCAGAATGCTGATCCCATGGACCACGATGATCCGGATCTCCCCGGTCCAGGACCAGCTACTCTCCAAATGGGGATGCGGAATCTCCCACGCGAGGATCCATTGGAAAAGGAGAACCAGAATCTTCCTGGTCCAGGACCCAAAAAATTCAATTCCAATAGGATAGCTCAAAAATGAACCAAGTTATGTCTCAACTTATGATAAAATTGAACTTTGAGCTACATTATCTCGGTTCTTATAAAGGATATAGAAAATTTGTTAACTGATAAAACATAGTCATAATATCACCAATATTTTATCAGCTTATACATTTTTGATATCTCTTATAGGAACCCAGATAATCGAGCGTAAAGTGATACCCTTAAAGCCTCTAAAAGGAAAACCCCGCACTTTCACGTTCGAGCTTAATTATCTCGGTTCTTACAGAAGATATCAAAAATTGATCAATTAATAAAATGTTAGTCATATTATGATAAATAATTTATCAGTTGACACATTTTTGTTACCTTTCATAGAAACCGAGATAATTGAGCTCAAAGTAACTTTTCCCGTCAGAAAACAAGTAGTCAAATTTGATTCCATATATCTCATTTTCTGTGACAGATATCGGCCAACTAATATAATATTTATCATATTATCACCAATATTTTATGAGTCGGCACATTTTTGATATCTCTTATAGGAACTGAGATAATCGAGCTCAAAGTAGGCTTCTTTGGGAACGATTTTTTAAATGTCTATTTTATTTTCCACATCCTTTTGATTATTTTAATGCAAAAACCAAACTTCTAGCACAATATAGAAGAGAGTTATTCCTAAATATTTTCTGTGGTGAGCTCTAGGTGATAACAGGATGGGACTGTCGCGCACGCCGTTTATCACCTCCAGTTGGCCACGTCCTCCAAACAAATTTAGGCATAACTCGCTTCAAAATTGTGCTAGAAACTTGGTTTTTGTACCAAAATATGCAAAAAGTCTCACTCTTAGTTATGTTGTAGTTTAAGGTATGCTAAGTTCATTGAGGCTTCTGAGAATAAGCTCAACAAATCTCATATTTTCTAAAAATTTGTTTCCAAGTTCTTTTGAATACACTGACTTTCAAAATAACCATTGACAGGATTTATAATTTTCCAAATTTTCAGATGGCAGCTCAAATCGAGGAAGAAGAAATGGAACTGGACGATGAAGAAGCAGCTCATGGAGCTGAAGATGTTGAACAAGTCACATGCTGCTCCCGCGAACTTCGTGCTCGGTACAACGTCCCAAACAAGCTCTGCGCAGAAGAATCCGAGTGCCAAAACGAGGCGAGAATCTCACCGAATGATGAATTCATGGGGTTGATCAAGCCAAGCAGTAATGGAAGAGACTACTGCATGCAGTGCTTCGCTGTGAACCGAAGAAGACGAATCAACACGAGAAGTTCGAAAATGTTCTGAAATGCACAGGATGTCAAAAATTGTGGCACCTATGTTGCTCCTTTCACTTCGAGAGGTCCAATTCGTTCAAATGCAAGTTATGCGTGGAAAAAGATGCCCCGATGGTTTTGGATGCTCAGAAAGGAGGCTCAAGATTGGTTACTGCGATGGAGGAGAAGTTGAATTCGATTCTGAGAGCGAAGCTAGGTTCCAAGGACGCTGAAAGAAATAGAATCTCAGTTCGATCGATGGTAAGCAGGCCAAAAAAGTAGTCCACGAAAAGTCTCGCTCCATCACACTATTCCAAGGCCTTCGAGAAGAAATATGGACAGGCGATTTGTTATAAGACTCGAACCATTGCCGTCTTCCAAAGACAAGATGGAGTGGACCAAGTGTTCTTCATGATGTTTGTCAGGGAATATAAATCCACCTTCGTGATCGACTACTTAGATTCCGTCAAGTACTTGGAGGCAGACCTTCGGAAGCAGATCTACCCGGAGATCCTATTGGCCTACTTTGATTTTGCCAGGACTCTAGGAATTCTTCATGGATATATCTGGGCGAAGCCTCCAGTCAAAGGAGATGACTTCATCTTCAATATCCACCCAGAAGATCAGCCATACTTGGACCTCAATAGGCTGATCGGTTGGTATCGAGGTATTTTGGACAAAGGAGTGCGAGAGAAGAGGATCAAGAAGTACGAAGATTTTGGAGAAAAGAAGATCAAGAAAACCGAGGACTTGCCGCTGTTCATAGACTCCCTTTGGACCAAGAAAATGAAGGAGGTGGAGGAGCGACCAAGGACGGATAAGAAGCAGTTCGACCAAGACATGGACTATCATATGAAGAACCATCATCAGAAGGACAACTTCTTCATTGAGCTAGTGCAAGGATGTGAGCTGGAGGATGACGACACCCCAACCACCAGCCACGCATGGATCATGGATAGCCTGATGTTCCGGGAGCATTGCCGCGAAAACAACTGGGAATTCGGATGTCGCGAGAGGGCCAGGTTCGCAAGTGTGGCTATTATCAAAAAGTTGGAAGAGAACTTGTAGAGTAAATTGTTTTGAATTTCAAGATTTTTAAAAAGAAGTATTTTCAGATTCATCCAGAATACTGTGCTATTGTCCTCAACATCCAGAAGCGTCTTCTTTTCTTCTATCGTTTCCTGCTTCAATCCATCGTCGTCTCCAGAATCCGCCCGTCTTCATTTTCTTTTTCCTGTCCGCTTCCAGTCAGTCTGAAAATTGTCGAGTCCATCTGAAAATACCAAATTGAGATCTAGATGTTCCTTTACACTTTCAGAAAGTTTTTAAGCTTCAAATCTTATTTAAATCCTTAAGTATCTATTTCTAGTCTTCATTTGTATTTTCTTAAATTTTAAGCAACTTTTAAGACTCTCAAACTTCCGATTCTCCACCTTCTAATGTTCCAAAATGTTCCTCCATCTTCCCTATTTTTAACTTTTCCCATTTCTCGGTGTTTTGCTTTTAGAAGTCCCAAGGATTCCTTCAAATCTTCCTGGTTTTTAAATAGCATCTCCTTTGGTCTAGTCTTTTTTAGTTCCCACCGGTTTCCAGAACTTTCTTCCATGGTTTTTTTTTCAATTTTTTTTCCGGTATTTTCAAATTTGGTAATTTTGAATTTTCCCATTTCTCAGTCCCTCTCATGAATCCATTTGTCTTGATCTATAGACTTTCCTAGACTTTTCTAGATCCAATTTCCAATTTTAGTAATTTCAAACCTTCCCGTTGACTTACTCCTTCTCATAAATCCTTTCTCTGGTTCTCTAGACTTTCCTAGGTTTTTCAAAACACCCTTCTGTTGATTTTTTGTTTGACCCAATAGCTCATTCTTGTTTTTTTTTCGATTTGAAAATCTACCCATTTCCATATGTTCTTTATCAAAATTACCCACTTTTTAATATGTTCATTTATTGTTTTCCATTCTTCTCTACTCAAGTTCTCTTTTTTTTTGTTTTTTACCTAAAATTCTGACCGATTTATGTACAGAATCATTTGTTGAAAATAAAATTTAATATCGAAAAGAAATGCCAAAATTTTAAAACCAAAAAAAAGTTCGAAACTTTCATCTTAAATACCTAAAATTCAAAAATCTAAAAGCCAATTTATATTTGAGCCAGTTTATCTCGATTCCCATAAAAGATATCGAAAAGTGATTAATTAATAAAATGTTTATCAAATTATCAGCTACATTTTATTAGTTGACCACTTTTTGATATCTCTCTTAGAAACCGAGATAATTGAGCTCGAAGATCACATACAGGATGGGCTTCTAACCGAGCAAATATGACATTCTTGACTCTCCGAGGGGAGCGGTTTTTTGTATGTAATGAATTTTGCTGATAAGCAACATTGTGAAATAGTTTCGACATCAACAAAAAAAATTGATAAACATGAAGAGGCAACGTTCATTTGGAATCATGTGAGGGCGTTGGGTGCGTGTGTGCAAGCGTGTGTATCCATCTTTCGTTGTCTGTTTCTCTTTTTGGGAGAGAACAGCAACGAGATAGAATAGATGGCCTTTTTGCACTTGACGACCCGTTCCTTTTTCTTCTTCTTCTCCTCGTTTTTTTTCTTCTTGCTCAGAAGATTTTCTTATTTTTTTTTTGGGTTTATTCACAAATTTCCTAGGTAAAATGTTGCGAAACTTTTTACTGGCACTGTCAAAAACGTCCGTATAGTTTTTGCCGATAACTTAGTAGGTATGTATCATGGTTTTTGAAGGAAATCAGTTTTGAAAAAAATTTTAAGCCAGAAAACTATTATGGAACTCTCAAAGATTCTGAATTTTGGAATTATTGTTGTCTGTGGTCCAGTTGGTCATGTTGTTATTGAGAATTGTAGTTCTTGTGTCTTTTGGTTGCTAGATTCGTCCTCTTGGGTCTCTATTCTCTTTTCTTCTCCTTCTTCTGACTAATGGACACCAATAAAACAACATTTTGCCAGATTGGATATTCTTTGTCTTTTTCTGCATATCTGCTCAATTCGTACAGTTTGAAATTCCTATGAAATACATTTCTTAACAAATTCACAATATTATAAATCTATTCTAAATTTTCCTTTGCCTCATCTGGTGAGGTTTTTGAAAATGTTCAATTTCAAAATAGAAGCTCTATGTTTTAATCATTCCTGGAACATACGAAACGGTTAGCAGAGAAGAGCAATTATCCAAATCGGTGCTAATCGTTCAAGTTCGTTCAAGTTCGAGCCCTCTAATCCCGACCAATATTTGGATCGAATATAGGTCACACAGACAGAAATTGGGCAGGGGTCCTAGATCTTGGGAAGAACGAAGAGAATGGAATCTTCCTTCCAGGAAGAATGTGACCCATAGCACCTATAGGATGGAACACAAACAAATAGAAGCACATAGGAAATCTCAACGATCACAATACCATTCGAGGCATACACAGCCCCCATTCACACAGTTCTCCTGGTTCAGATCATTCTGAAATCCAACATTATTTTAAGTTTTCATTCGGATATCTTCAGGCATGTCCTCCCGGCTCCGATTATTCTGAAATTGCAGATCTTCTCTATTTTTCCAATTTCATCTAACTTCCTCCAATTTGAATCCACTTCTTGGATTTAAAGCTACAAATCTATTCTAGCGCCTATGCCAAATCAATATTGTCGTATATATTTTTTGTAGCGTTTTTCAAAATTTTCTCCAACCCGTCTCATTCGTATTGAAGCTTTTTTTTATAGACTCCTATTCTTTTCAGCTAACCATGACTCAACTCAACGAGGACATCTTGAAAGACATTTTCTCGTTTCTGGAGCCCAACACCAGGTATGTCCTAGACACAAGAAGTCAACTTTGAGCCAATTTATCTCGGTACCTGTCAAAGATATCAAAATGTTGTCAACTGATAAATTGTTTATCATAATATCAGAAGTTATTCGTCAGTTGACCACTTTTTGATATCTTCCACAGGAATTGAGATAAACTGACCTACATTTGACGGTGTGGATGCTCTTCTATTAGAGGTTTAACGCTTTCCAAAAAGCCCCATTCCATAAAACTTATTTTCCAGATACATAATTGCTGCTCGTTGCCTATCCCTTCGACCAATCCACAAATCCCTTCCAATCCACATTGACCATCTGAAGATCTCCCGTTCTAGCTTTTCCATCAACGGCTCCACCCACGCCTTCCGGAGCATGATTCAAGAGGCAGAAGAGCAAAAACTCCCTAGACACCTCCAGGAAATCAATGATGACTATGGTGTCCCTTACGACCTGACCTCCACTGGTAAACGTGACGATGATGCTGACCTTCTCTTCCAGGATGTTCAAGTTGGTGGTATTCGCTTTGCTCAGAACTTCATCGACCAGTTCAACGCGAATTCTGGAAGCCTGGAAGGTCAGATGAACGAATTTATCAGAGTAGCGGCTTCGATGCGAGGTGGCAGACTCCCAGTAGTTCAATGCACCCCATACATCCAGTATACGCTGAGCAATGACTATCAGATGAGCACTGTCACCTATCCACCTGGAAATCGAATCCGACACGCTATCAGAAGACATCTAGGCAACGTCCTAGGCAATGGAGAAGTGTCGGTGCGGCTTTTGGAGATTGATTGCCAGGACGGTGTGCTCAGATTCCCTGGAGACGTCAAACTCAAGGTTCAGGAGATCAAGCTTCGGAGAAATGGCAACGCTGTGCTTCACGCCATCCGACCTGTCATCTCAGAACGATCTTTTCCTCTCCAGAAGATTTCGATTCTGGTACAGGAAGCTGGCGACCCAGTATTCCAGAATCAAGTCGTCAAGGCATCCGGAGCAGTCGACATCCGAATTGATTATGATCCAGATGGCAACTGGGCAGAGGCACTTAAGAAACTTCCCAACAAAATTGTGCATATGGCAGTTGGCGAGATTCCAATTGAGCAGCTCGGAGAGTTGGCATTCGGCTGGATGGAGAATCCAAGAATGGAAGGATCCAAGTTCTCCATGCCATCCAAAGATGTGGCTACGATTCTGGAGAGAGCTGCAGAAGTGCTACCAGTATGCAATGCCACGATTGAGAGCAGAAGGTGAGTTATTGACTTTTGTTTAGTGTAAGATGTTCTAAAAATAAATATTCTAGATGCGACGAGTTTCCTGTTGGAGCCAGTATTCAGATCTCCGAGGATTTGGAGATCAACATCTATGGAGCAATGGCTCCAAATCATGAGAAGGAGCTGCTGAAGCCGAATGGTAAGCCATGGATGATTGTGATGGAATCCATGGCCTTTGGATCCGCTGCGCCGTGTGGATAATTAATTTGTGTATTTCTCTATAACTCAATGACTTGAGACTGGTCCTTCCCACTTCCCCAATTAAGGGATTTTAATTCCCTTTCTCTTTTTTAAATTTGAATTTATGAGATGAAACTGCACATTTTCTTGATTTCGTCGATTGATAGAACCTGTCGAAGTCTAATAGACCCGGATGGATTCTGACGACGGCTTATAGACGGTGGTAAAGCCTGATAGAGCTTCGCGGAGTTTAATAGACTCTGATATGTAGTACAATAAACTCTGATAGACTTTGATAGAGTCTGAGAAACCCCGGTGGAATCTGATAGACCATACTGGAGACTGATGGAGTCTAATAGACCTGATATAGTATAGTCTATTAGACCTTGATACAGCTTAATAGAGTCTAATAAACCCTAATGGAATTGGAAAGAGTTTAACAGAGCCTGATAGATACTAATGTGGAGTCTAATAGCTCCTGATGGAGTCTAACAGATCCTGGTGAAGTTTGATAACGTCTGATATAGTTTGGTAGAACCTATTAGCTTCTGATAGAAGCTGATGAAGCTTCTTGAGTTTTTCAAAGCTATTGGATCCTACTTTTCCTGAGATTCTGCAGTCAGAAGATGTCATTTAGGAGTTGATGACGTGGATCGTCCCCCAGGGAAAGTTCTTTTGGTAGTCTCTACAAGACAGATGGTGCATACTAGAGCTTGGTCCCTATTGTGGTAATTGCTATGTCATGTCTTTGTATTAAACAAGTACACAGTTTGCCTACGTGGCAAACGGACCCCAATACGTGGAAGACACAGACAGCTATCTATTGCTGATATCTAGTTCTAGCAGGTACGTTCGTAGGTTTTTTAAGGGTAACTATTTGGGTTCTAATTAATGTTATAAAACATAGGGAACAAGAAATTTGAATTTTTATCCTAATTAAAATCATAATTACCTTCGTTCCTGTATAAGATATCAAAATGTTGTCAACTGATAAATTGTTTATCACAACATCACCAACTTTTCATCAGTTGGCAAATGTTAGATATCTCTCACAGGAACCGAGATAATTGAGATCAAAGTGCACGATAATTTATTTCCAGAATGGCGCCTACTCCAAAACCTCCAAAAACTCCAGTTAAGAAAGTGTCAAAAGCACAATCTTCACAAGAATCCAAAATTCAAGGGCTACCATACAAAAAAATCCGACAACTGGGAAAAGGAGCATTTGGGGTAGTAGATCTCATGAAAAGGATTACAAATCCAAAAGAAAAATTCGCTGTAAAAATTCAACAAATCGGAAAACGGAGTCATAAAATTAAAGAGGAGTTTAAGATTCACAAAGGATTAGATCATACAAGTATTATCAAAGTTTTCGAGTTGATCCAATTTGAAAATCAATACTATATGGTAATGGAATACGCCAATAAAGGAGTTCTATGGGATTTGATCCCAAAAGATGACGTATTGGATGTTGAAGTTGCTCAGAAGCTATTCCAACAATTGATCGCAGGCATCAAGTATCTCCATAGTCAGGGAATTGTTCACAGGGATATTAAACCCGATAATTTGTTGATTTTTAAAGAAGGTAATAAGTTTCAAAAATTGTGCAGTGCCATAATTTGTTAATTCCAGAGATTTTGAAAATCTGTGATTTCGGAAGCGCCAAAAAGTATCTCAATGGTGATCAAGAGATCTTTTTCCCCACTGGTGCTGGCGCCAAAAGCTTCAATGCTCCTGAAATATTTAGTGAAGACCAATTTCGAGGTCCACCTTTAGATATCTGGGCTGCTGGACTAGTTCTAGTATGTATGCTGGTCAATAGTCAGCCATGGGAGAGAGCCTGTCCGTGAGTGTTATTTTTATTAGCTCAATTAACCCAGTTCTTGTGAAAGATATTGGAAAAATTTCAACTGATGTTTATCATAATATCAGCAAAACTTTATCAGTTGAAAGATTGTTGATAGTTCTTGTAGAAACCGAGATAATTGAGCTCTAACGCACATATATTTTTAGGATTCTGATAAAGCATTTGAGCTTAATTACCTCGGCTGCTATAAAAGATATAAAAATTTTGCCAACTGATAAAATTTTTATCATAATGTTGGCTATATTTTATCAGTTGACAGATTTTTGCTAGCTTTTTTTAGAAGCCGAGATAATTGAGTTTAAAGCTAAAAGCCAACCTAATAAAAGCAGTCCACCCAACCCTTAAACTTTGTGTTTAGTTATCTCAGTTCCTATGAGAGATATCAAAAACCTGACAACTGATAAAATATTGGTGATATCATGATAAATAATTTATCAGTTTTTTTTACCTTTCGAAGGAACCGATATAATTAAGATCAAAGTGCCACTACTATCACAGCATGGTGGTTCAATGGAGCGTGTTTGCATTCTTTTTTTTCGAAAATTCAACTACGCTTCATTGAGAATCCTTTGAATTTAAAATTTCAAATTATAGCGGTGACAAAGGATACTCAGCGTGGAAGCGAGGAAAACTGTTCAATGAGTGGCCGTGGACCGAAGTGGACCCAATGGCAATGTGTGGGTTTTTGATATTCTGATTATTTTTTATCAATTGATATTTTTCCAGCCCTTATCAGTTGGATTCTAATGGAGGATCTCAATAGGCGCTACACAATTGAGCAGATCGAGAAAAGCGAGTGGTTTCAGTACGAGTATGATTGATTTTTAGACTTTCTTCTGATTTTTGATCTACTTATTTGAATAAAATATTTTTTTGAAATCTTGTTTTTTGATCTACAAATATTGGCAAAAATTGGAAATTGATTTTTCGACGTTTTTTTTTCAAATTTGATATTTCCGAATCCGGGTTTTCCTGTCTGTTTATATTTCTGTTTTTCCGGATGGCTGATTGTTTAATCCTTCTTTATTGTCTATTCAATAAAACGTGGGCGCGCCGCAGGTTGCAAAGTGACACGCCCCTTTTTGGAAC